CCTGGGGGGTGCCCCTGCCCCAGGGGCACGAGCCGGGCTCCAGGCAGGCAGGGAGCCCAGAGGCAGGCAAAGGAGGAAATCCAGCCCACCTCCCAGTGACAGCAGGTGGTGGGCTGAGCCCTTTGGGGGTCACGCTGACGGCCCCTCCCACCTCGCTCCTCTTTGCAGTCGGTGCAGGCTCTGATCAGTGACTTCCGGGGCACCCCCACCTTCAACTACAAGGCAGCTCACATCTTCTTCACAGACAGTGAGTGGAGTCGGGGGGGCCTGGCCTGGGCAGAGGCAGTGGGGGGCTCTCTCTCTCAGCAGGCCAGGGCGCAGCTCCTGCATTCTGCCCAGCTCCCCGGAGGGGGGGGTGTCCCCGCGGCCAGCCTACCCCAGTGCACACCCCCCCGCCACGTGGCTCCCGGTCCCAGCCTGCATCAGTCCCAGCTGGGTGGAGGGCCGGACTCCACCTGAGTCTCCCAGCACATCAGGATCGCGTCTGCTCCTCCCCAGTATGGCGAGCCCCGCCCCACAAGCATGGGCCCGCCCCCCTTTCCTCCTCGGATATCGTCCCAGAGCACTCTAGTCACTTCTCCCTGCGTGGGAGGCTGACGGGGAGGGGGGGTCCCCCTCGCAGCTCATGTTGTAGAAGGCAAGACCCCAGCATGACCCTGGTTTGGGGGGGGAGAACAAGGGCTTGATTTGTCGGACTCCTGCGTGGCCCTGTTGGCTTGCCCGGGTTCCCCACAGGTGGGCAGGGCCTGCCCTGGCCCTGCCCTGTGTCTGTTGTTCCCGTCTGCTACCTTTGTCTTGCAGCCTGTCCTGACCACCTGTTCGAGGAGCTGAGCAAGTCACGCATCACCAAGGCCATCAAAACCCTCAAAGAGATCAACGTGGCCTTCCTGCCCTACGAGAGCCAGGTAGGGGCGCCCGGCGGGGGGCAGGAAGTGGTGGGCAGGGCCTGCCCTGGCCCTGCCCTGTGTCTGTTGTTCCCGTCTGCTACCTTTGTCTTGCAGCCTGTCCTGACCACCTGTTCGAGGAGCTGAGCAAGTCACGCATCACCAAGGCCATCAAAACCCTCAAAGAGATCAACGTGGCCTTCCTGCCCTACGAGAGCCAGGTAGGGGCGCCCGGCGGGGGGCAGGAAGTGACGTGTGAAATGTGACACCCCAGAGCCACGTGGATGCTTTCCCCTCTAGGGCACTGGGTGTGAAGCCAGGCCGAGGCGGAAGGGACCCACTGTGGCTGCTCCTGCCCTGTGGGAGGGAGGACGGTATGGTCCCTCCGTGGCACCCCCCGAGCTGCATGTTATGGGGGGAATGTGAGAGTCCAAGGTCTGACCTCACCCTTCCACCCCCAGGTGTACTCCCTGGATGCGCCAGAGACCTTCCACAGCTGGTTCAGCCCCTACCGCTCCTTGGAAAAGAACAAGCAGACGGACATGCTGGCCGAGCAGATAGCTACTTTGTGTGATACCATGAAGGAGTACCCAGCCATCCGCTACAGGAAGTGAGTGTGCCCCGGGGGGGGGGGGCGGGGCGTACCCACGCGTCCGGTA